AATACCAACACCCTCAAGAAAAAAAATCCCCCCAGCCTGACCCCCGCCCCCAAAGCCAGCCAGCCACAACACTGTGAATCCCTCAGGGAGGTGCCAGCCTCATCCTCTTGAACTTCCCACGCTTCTCCGGGGAACTAAGAACACGCTTATCTCCCTGAGCCTGGCCTTCATAATTCCATTCCATCACAATACCTATAGACCAGAATCATCCTGGCTAACTTTTCTCTTCTGGGCATCCCCCAAGCGTTGGCTTTCGACTTCCAGAATTTCCCGCTGTTGATCCAACACATCTGGAAAACCCAACTTGCCTCTCGAGTCCTATTTCCAACATTCAAAGCTACATTGCTCAGTCCCCCACTATCTGATTTCCTGGGTTGATCAGGGCCAAATGTTCCTCCCTAACCCTAACAAAACAGACTTGTCAGTGTCTAGGGTCTATTTCAGGGAGGTGATCAAATTGAACCCGAAACCAACATGTCTCCTGTATCATCTTTTGGAAACTAGGGCGAGCATGTGGCCTCCGAAAGCTGTGGGTACAATTCCCAAACTTCGCCAGCTGTGTAATTTATAACGTAAGGCAAAGGAAATGACCAAGTGTGGCCATATTGAATTGGAATTCAGTGCAGGCAAAATCAGTTTTAGTTTTTTGTCCTGGCCCCACCAATTAAATGTTTAGAATGCGGTCCTCGCCACCCTCCTGACTTCAAGGGTGCTTTAAGTCAGGAGTTAAGTTAAGGAGTTAAGTTTTTGGGCACCGAGCAACAACCTTGGAAAGCTAGATTCACCCACAACCTTTTCTCGTTTCCACATAGCATGGCCAGCCCAGAGACCTCCAGAGCTGGTATCATCCCCCCTCCAAATTCTTCATTGCAAGCCAGACGTCGTGTTCTGTTTTCAATTTAGTGGCATGCGCGGATGGAACAATATGATCTGGTGGGTCTAAGATATTTCTCCCACATATCTGGAAGAATGTGCAAATCTCGCTTCATCCGTACGATGACCTCCCGCTCTCCAGATGTTGCAATGTTGCACTCTAATATGTACACCAGAGATGGAAAAAGAAATTGGATTGAGAAAGACATTTCTCCCTTAGTCATCTTAGTTGATTATCAAGTAGCTAGACATACCAAAAGGATGAACGTGTCAATGAAATGTGGGAATCATTAGAGAATTGAATATCTGCAAACCTGAAGATTGGTCAGATTCCTTGGGAGGAAAAAAATGGGGTTGGTAGAGATGGCAATGGGGAACTGCGAAAAAAGAAAGGTGTTCTCTAAGTGGGTCTTTTTCAGGGTTTCAGCCGGCCATGCCCGCTTTCAGACAATGCCATTCCTCATTTTCTGCTTCCCGTCTCCCTCCTGGATGCTTAATCTTTATTAGTCCTTGTCAGTGTGTTACACAAGACTTTTAAGGGTGCGTCCTCCAGAAAGTCAAAAATCAGCACCACGAAGGTACCTACCGATTGTGAGGTCGCTGGAGGTACTCGTGGGCACCTCACGAAAGGTGAAGGGGGAGACGTCGCTCCACATGCGGAAAGCTGCAGTTAATCCTTTCCTGGTTTGGCTTTTGCTGATCAGGTTTTTGGGGAAAGACAGAATTCTGCAGGGGAACACAAAAGTAAACTAAGAGATCATTTCACTCGCAGGTGCCCAAGTTCAACTTCAGTCCTTGGCTGAGGACCATGAATTTGGGGTTCGGTTATCAAAAGATAAAACAAGACAGGAAAGGGACATGGTCAAAACAAGAACTAGCTTTGGAACTATTTAACCAAGTTTAATTAACTAGAATAACATGAATGCTTCCTGCGCTTTTAATCATTTTTACCTTCCACCAGAACTGTGGATGGAACATTTAAGGGATGTCTACGAGTCGCACCCTTGAAAAGGAAGCTGGAAGAGCTTGCTAGCTACGTCTATACCGTGATTCAGTTCCACGGGGACAATTGGATCAAGCTTCGGAATCGACATCAGATCAAGGTGGATCTCTCCAAACCGGGGCAGATCACTCAGAAGCTA